GCGTGTGGCAGATGCAAGGTGTTACATGAGGTGACTTTATGGGGAGAGGTTACAAGTGAAGTGTGGATCTAGCAGCCCCTTGGGGATTAAGAGATGAACAAACTGCTTGAGTCTCAAAGTGGTTTTTGGAAGTGGACTGTTTCCTTTTAAAAAAAAAGTGGGGGGCCTTATAAGAAAGATGGAGACAGAGTTTTTTAATGGGGCCTGTAGTGATAGGACAAGGGGTAATGGCTTTAAACTAACAGAGGGTAGATTTAGGCTAGATACAAGGAAGAAAATTTTTATGATGAGACACTGGCGCAGGTTGCCCAGAGAGGTGGTGGAGGCCCCATCCCTGGAAACATTCAAGGCCAGGTTGGACGGGGCTCCGAGCAACCTGATCTGGTGGAGGTTGTCCCTGCTCCCTGCAGGGGGGGTTGGACTAGATGGCCTCTAGGGGTCCCTTCCAACCTAAAACATTCTATGATTCTATGATTTGAATGGTGGAATTTTTGTCTTCCATTTGAGTCAATTAAGTGATATGTTCGGAGTGGAAAGTAAACGGAAGTTGTCCCAACTTTGTGCTTTTTTGTGAATTGGAAACAGAAGTATAGAGTCATGCTGATGTCACAAATCAGGTCCCAGGTCGGAGGATCCTCCTGGAAGTCATGCTCTGTACTTACTGTTTTCGTCCAGCTCAGAGTTCCGCTGTGGAGTACTCCTCCTCCTGACTGCTTTCCGGGTTAGCGCTTGTTGCGAGTTTGTACGCTGGAGTAGTCAAAAGGCGAGCTTGCAGCTTTAGGTAGTGACGTGCCTGAGTGAAGAGGAGGGTGCTTGCCTCTCTTAAGTGGAAGTTGGCAAGTAGTTACTGTCCACAGCGCCTTGCTTTTGGGGTTGCATGCTGAATCAGCTAAGTTGTTCCAGCTTTAAGGTGTGTCGTCAGAGGTAGCTGCTCTGCCACAGCTGAAGGAGTAGTAAAAAAAAAAGAGCGTGGGGACAAGGACTAGAGATTGGGTAGTGGGCTTGTGTGCTTTCTCTGAATGGTTTAAGAGCTGCAAACCATGGGATGTGGTTTAGGTCCATTTTAGCTAGTTTCTCTGCAAAAAAGCAGAGATGACCAATGGGATTTAGGCAGGTGGTTTGTATCCCTGCCGGTGTTTGTGTGTGCGTGTCCCTCCGGAGGGGCAGCAAAGGGAACTCACCTGACATCCCTGAAGGAGCTGACTTTTCCGGTGTCGTTAACATTTTGAGTTGGGGTTTTTTTTTTGGTGTGTGTTTTTTATGTTTTGTTTTTTAAAACCCACCGAAGTGTCCTGGTATGCGTTGCTTTGTGTTTGTGGAAGTTCTCTGCTGTTAGGAGGACAGGTGGAGTGCAGGAAGGGGAAGCTGAGGTTGCATCTTTTCATGGCAGGGCTTGTCTTCTCAGTTCTCTCTAAAGCACACGCCTCTTGTCCTTGACTGAAGTCAAAGACAAAGTTTTGTGTTTGGTCTTTTGTGTTTGTTTTAGCTTTGGTCTGTGCTGGAGGGGCAATAGAGCAGGCAGTTTTATACCAGGAAGGTAAACTTTGTAGGAGTGTTGTGTTTTGTATCTGTGCAAATCATACCTTACAGTAGCAGTTGGTCTCTTTAGATCATGTAGGTGAGTTCTGGAAACCTCTGAACATATGTTTCAGTAGTTGCAGAAATTGGCCTAAATTATATCTTTCTTACTTTGAAATCTTGCCCTTTTGCAGATTTTCAGTTACTTCTTCAGACCATGCAAAAAAAAAAAAAAAAAAAAGTCAAAAGTGAGATTTCAGAAAATTTTGCAACAGTCTCTGCAAATTAATAAAAACTTTCTAGTGTATAATGATGGCGGGCTATAGTGAAAATGGGTATGGATATTGGCAACGGGCAGAGACCAGCCATGACCTAAATAGTTCCCTGGCAGCCTGGAATAATGGTCTGGCTGGTAATTCTCCCTCCGTAGCTAAAAGTAGCACTCCGTGCCTCGGTGTGAATGGGTTTGGCTCTTCTGGTTTTGTGTGTGCTGACGGGAGGAAGCGTTGTGCGGCGGTTGAGTGCTGTAGGTTGCACTGCGCCGTCATGGGGGATTTTCTTTTGTACAGGGCAAGTGACGACGGCCGGTTCACTGGACGCTTGCTGCAGCCTGGGCTTGGTGTGAGGGAGCCAGTGCTCCAATTGCCTGGGGGTGCGCAGTGCAAAGTGCCAAAAGAGGGCTGTAACCCTCTCAGGAGGAGGAGGAGGAGGAGGGGGTGCGTGTGCATGAGCAGTTGCCTAGGGGCATCGACGTACTGCAACCTTACCTTTGTGGTGAAGTGGCCCTTTGAGCAGAAGAAGTGACAAATCTGGAAACAACGGTACGTTTACTCTGTCCTTGTTATGCTCTGGCTAGAACTTCCGACGCCTATAAATTCCTCGCAACGTCAGAAGCTGTGCAGGGAGCGTGCGTGGTGGGGGGTGACGCGTACCTTTCTGACATGCTTCAGCGCCGAGGGAAAGGTTGCAGCTTCTGCGTGGGGAAACGCGTGCTGCTTCCAGGGTGACCGTGCAGTCGATGCAGTGTCCCTGCAGCTGTCCTCGATGCCAGGGGAGATACCATGCTCTGCTTGGGGATGGACTGGATGAAGAATTAAAGTAGGGGGAGTGTTGACTGAAGAAGGAGAGCCATAGACACTTGACACATCAACAAAACTTAAGGGGGACATTGATAAGGTAACTCTTCCTGTGAGTTAGTGAAAGGCGCATGTTACTTGTGATTTTTTTTCGTTGTCGTTTCGTTGGTTTTGGTAAGGGTTATCCTGATAACTTCGTGTGAGAATGTGCTCTGTGCTTGCCTGTAAGTAGTCGAGGAAGAACCAGCACGTTGGGCTACTGCCTGGTTAAGTGAAGGTCTGATTCTGCTTGGTGTAATTTAACATGACACTTGGGTCTGAATGTGGCACTATATTTCGGTGTTAGGTGTTTTGTCTGTCTCACTTTCTTTCTGGCGGAAAGACAACAAACTCTCTAGAACACATGTATAAATCAGCCAGCAACTAGTTAATTTTATACTAGTAATGAAGTTAAATTGCTGTGTCCTTAAGAGGGTGCTTTTCTATTAATGAAAAAACCCTCATTGTTTCTAGGAGAGATGGAAGGTGGCCTGTGTCTGTCTTGCACCAGGGGGGACAGGCTGTGCTCTGGGCAAAAGTCATGGCTTTAATCCTGTGTTACAGACACTTGTAACTGTAGGTAATGTTGTCTCCTAAACCTCTGCTGGTTTGTTATTGCACTTAGTACAGTTGGTGGGTTGGAAGATACCCATAGAGACTTTGAAGTTCTGTAATGAGAGCAACATTATCGTAAATAGGGTTGTTGGAATTACTGTTACTGCGGCAAGACCTTCTTTTAGAGGAAATGAACCAGTTAAGAAAAATCACTTAAATTGCTTTTCGCTATAAAATAGAGCTTTGTGGTGCTAAATAGGCAGCAACTCCAGTTGCATGCTGTACAAAAGAGTAACCAGCTGTGTAGTCAAGAGAGTATTTAACCTGAGAGAGGCAAGGGGGAGGTTAATACCCAAGGTGCTCATATTAATGTTTCTGTCATATTTTTCTTTTGTTTTTATTAGTTATAGGCACTGCTGACACTGTATCATCTTTAATATGAGGTAAACATGTTTTGTTCCTCAGCTTGGGGTCATCTCTGAAAAGTGTTAATATCAGCAGTTCCAAGGTGGTGCCTCTGTAATGAGGTTCATTTAGGATTGTTGATTACATTGGTAAGCATTCTGGAACGCTGTCAAAATATCCCTCTAGGGGAACTGTAATTTTTAAGAACTGATGCTTTTGTCTGCATAAGTTTGTAGTAAGTGCACGGTGAACCTGTTACCTAATTAGGATTTTTCTTGGTGTATTTAGAAATCTATGGAAGCAGTGAGCATTGAGCATATTTATCTGAAATTGCCAAGTAAAGTTCAGGACAACGCAGTGTGCTCTTCCTCTTGGCTATTTATATTTTACCCTTTTTCCTTCACTGGGAAGTGATGTGTCTAGTTCTTTCTTACGCTGAGTCAAGACTGACTCTCAGTTTGTAATTGCAGCTTCACTTACACTATGCCTTTCTGTTTGATCCATATGTGTGAAGCTCTTATTTTTTAAAAAATAGACAAAATTATGTGAATTTGGTTTTTCTTGTTTCTTTTTCTTTTTTTTGGTCTTCAGCATGGTACATTGCATGAGAAGAAGTTAGGTATGTTGTGGGATAAGGACAGAGAGGCTGGGACTGAAGTTTTGAAAACCTGCTGAAAGCTACCCATGCTTAACATGAATTTGATTGTGGAATTGGAGACCTCATCAAAGCTTGGGAACTGTTGTATGCTAGCAAGAGATCTTTGCTGGAGAAGGACTTGGAAATTTAATAAATGCATTTAAATCTCAACTGCTAATACTTTTTAATACTAGTACAGTTTTACTAGATAACCACCACCAAAGAGCGGCAAACCTCTTATGCCCAGGACTGACAGAACTGGACGCTTACTCTTGTAATATGAAAACATATTATTAGTAATTCTGATACACTTTTAAAATTTTAGCCAAACTTATGGAAAGCACTGATACTTGTCTTGCTTGCACTTTCATAGGTGACTGTTTCTCTTCATGGTACAAGCACAATTGATGTTATGCTTCAGAGACCTCAGCTGTGGTATTGTTGTGCCGCAACACTAAGATAAAACTGCAAGTTTATTATTATTATTATTATTTAAAAAGCAATTATTTGAGTCCTGTTCTTTGAACTGCTTCCAGTTACACCAAATACCAAGCAACAATAATGGAACCTGTCTCTGAAGTACGTGAATGCTCGAGCAGCAGCACTCCCTTATGCTGATCACGCAGTCCTTTTTTACAGTGGGTTGCAGTAGTGCTGTGACTCGAGCAGTTCTTATTTTCCTGGTTGGACCAATCTGTGTGTGTGTTTTTGTTTTGGTTTGGGTTTTTTTTTTTTAAACTAAAAAAACCCAAACAAACCCATAAAGCACATTGTTGTGTGAATGAGATGAGGAAGTCTGTGGAAGTATGACAACTGAAGCTGCATTTAAATGAGATCCTTAGAAAGCCTCCGTGTATAAGCTATGAAATTCTTCATAGTAGGTAAGACACCAGTTGTCCTGAAAAAAATTATACTTGAAGAGTTCCAAAGCCTACAGCCATGGCATTGAACATTATGCCATCGAAGTATAGCTGATACCCTTTCATCTAGTGAAAGTGATGGCATTTCTCTTTTGAGCACTGGAACTGGGAAAAAAATCAATGACTGATTCTTTGTTGTGACAGCCAGGTATTTTGGAAAGGTGGTCTTCAGTGCAGGATAACTCTCATGTTGGTTCATGGCTTTTACAAAACCAGAGAAAAGATTCTTTTTTTTTTTTTTGGACGCAGTTTGTAGAGTCTTTTTGACTTCCTGCACTTATGAGATTAAGCCTTGCCTGTCAATGCACACATTTCCACATTGCTTGAGGGGTAGAGCTATTCTCTCTGCTACCGTGTGGTTCTGACTGGTGGCTTAAAACCTTTGAAATGGTCTTAGTTTATGATCCATTTCATCATTAGATGTTTGTGTTCACTACAGTCTTAATGCTTTTTTTGTTTTGCCTCCCAGTTCTTTTGCCCCTTGTTCTTTACTACTGGTTCGTTGTAGTTTTTTGCTGTCCTTAATGTTGATCAGCTGGGTCAGCAGCTCAGTTCAGCTGCAGCTGCCAGCACTCCCACTAAAAAATAAGAAAATTAGATTGGGGGAGGGATAATTTCTTTGTCTTTGGTTCTGAATAAACCTGTTCTTGACATCAGAGGTCTCAGGTTTTTGAGAAGTTGGTTTAGTAGCAAATACTTAACGCTTACAAATGAAGAAGCTTAGCAGGGCAAAACCAAAAGTTGTAGCATTTAGATAATGAAAGAAACAGCAATGGAAAATATTTTTTACTTGCCATAAAGTAACTGCTTTTGCCAGACAGTTTGATCAGTGGTCATGGTGGCAACATATCTGATATGGAAGCCGGAAGCGGGTGAAGTTAACTGTATACTGTTTTTTTCCCATCCAAGGCTGTTTGTATTGAACAAGTGATTTAAGGAACTTGTTTTCTTTCTAATTTACTTCTTGCTGCTTTTCCAGCTGGTGGAGAATCATTTTCAGTGAGCAAACTGAAAAACTTTCAGTAGTAGATTAGAGAAGTACTACATTGGCTGTTGTTGCTTCCAATTCTACTATGGTGTGGGTTTTTTTTTTATTATGAGTGTCCTGCTGTAAGATAACGCATAAGGCAGCCTAGATGAAAACTGTCAGGTTTTGCCTCATCATCCACATCAGGAATGCTGAAATACAGGAGTGAAGGTGGGAAGGTTAGATGAGACTGCTGAACAGATGTACCCTTGTGAGAGGGGAAGAATTGGGATTCTCCAAGTCCAAAAAGAGCCACAGATGTGTTGTCTGGTGTTTGTCAAATGGATCTTCCAAAGATGTTTTTCCTTCCTCTTCATGGTAACTTTATTTTATGTGTTAAGTTGTGTTGACTCAGATGAGTGGAAGTGGGCATCTTGCGTCGTTATGCACTAGGGTCCTATTTCTTGAAGTGTTACCATTTCCTTAGCAGATAACTGTCCAGTGATCCTTTGTCTAGACTGAGCTGAAGTTTCTGTGAAAGTTAGCTAGTCATGGGACGTTAAACTTGATGAGAGATGGCCAGCTCTGAACTAGAATGAGTGAAATGTCACTAGCTGTGAAATGATAACTTCACCAGAATTGAAAAGACCAAGCTTTTTTATTTGAGTCACAGAGAGACTAGTGACTTTCAAGCTGCTCATGCCTTGGTTACATACAAGCAAGTTAAGAGGGTCTTACCAGCTTTATAGATGCCATAAAGAGCATAGTAAAGTTCCTTTTTATTATAATGGGGTTTTACATAATTTCTGTGAAATGACTGAATGATGCCACCGAAGTTTTTGTAAAAACTTTAATGAGCTTGACACAAAGTTCTTGCAAGACTCAGAGGCATGTCTGCTGCAAGAAGAATGAATTTGATTGACTGATCTCTTTTATGGCTAGAGAGGGCAAGCTTACAGTGTCTTCCCTCATGTAGTGTCTGTAGGATGGTTGTGCATTGCCTTTACCTTTGCAGTCTTCTTAGTCTCCTTCACATTCTTCTTAAATCACTCTTCCTACAGTATGAAGAGGAAGATGTGTCCAGCCAAGGTGCATCTTTTTGTATTTGCCTTTCAGTTCAGAATTGCTTGGCAATCAGTTTTGTCCAATGAAATTGATCAAGAGTCATGACATACACAATCTCTGGAGATTTTCAATGAGGAGTGTGCTTTGGTGCTGGGAACTCCTGATTGAATGTGTGGTTTGTTTGTTTTGTTGTGTGGTTGTTTTTTTTTTTTTTTTCTGGTGCCACTCAAACAAATGTAAATCTACATGACCCGTCTTTGGACTCGGGGGTCTCCAAGGGGATGTGTGTGAGATGGACAGGGAAGACGGTCAACTAATGTAAAAATGAGGAAAAAAGCTTTATTGCAGCAATGATGCTTCTACCCTGTTCCTCTGCCTCTTAGAAGTGCTCTTCGTGCAAAACCAACTGCAGGTCAAATAGTAGGAAGGTGCCAGTGTAAACAGTAAGGGAAGCCAGCTTGGTATTCAGCCAACTTTAACTGAAGCTGTGCTCTTGCTTTTATGTGCAAAAT